GGACGTCCTGGTCTTTCTTATCAAAAGCGTCCACGGCGACTGGGCAATCTTGCCGAAGTGACGCCTCAAACTCTCACGACTTTTCGAAGTCGGGATATCTTCACCGCTTCACAAGATATTGGGTCTGGCCCTTGTGACGACGTCGTCTTGCTAGACGTTCCACGTGATAGCGGACGTCGCCGTTTCCATCGAGAAGAGTCGGTGGCGGACGGTGACTCGTCATGCTCTTCGAGCCCTTGAGGACAAGGTCCTTCGTGATAGGAGCTCCGCTGAGTGTCATGCTGAAGTAGCATATTGCTGTGCGGACGCTCTTGACGATTTAAAGCATGTCGTGCGTTAGCTGGCTCGCCTTGAGGGCTACCGCTCTTTGTCGGAGCGACTCCTAGCTGTGGAGCAGACGAATGCATCACTGCAGGCAACGGTGGAGTCTTTGACTCCATTGGAAATGGAGGTTGTTGCACTCCGTGCTCAAAATTAGTTGCTTAGTCAACTTCTGGGTGGCCGCGGGCCCAAGGGATCCGCTCCGGCGCCAACGCTTCCGCGTTTAATTGCGCCGGATCTCGGTACGGCTTGAGCAAGCCCACGTAAATCACCTGGTGGGTGCGCATCCATTTCGGAAGGTTCAGCGTGTACGCCAGGCCCCGTTTAGCCACAACCTTAAACAGTCCAATAAACCGTGGACGAAGCTTCGTCCGAAAGATAGCAGAGGCTGCATGTGTAGGCAGGTTTTTTGCAATCAATAAACCAGGTCCCCGATCTTAAATCTCCCCACTTTGCCTCTTCCTTTTTCATCTGCATATTGTTTCTGCAGGTCTTGGCTTTCAGCCATCGCATCACGAACGTGTCGTGGGACACTCAGACTGGTAGACAAGAAGTCAGCTACTAGGTCGCCCGGCCCCTACTGAGTAGTGTCGTTTCCCCGCGACGAACAGACTGGTAGGCGATGGGGCGATGGTTCGAAGAACCTTGACGCGCCTTGCGCAGGGGACATCCGTTCCGAAGGTGAGGGGTGTCTCCGCAGACAAAACACCGTCGAATGTGTGAATTCTCCTCGGCAGCTTGGAGCTCTGCTCTCTCATCCTCAGATAGCTGATAATCCATTGGCATAGGCCCGCTCGACGAGCTGTTGGAGTGTGCATTCCAACCAAGTCGTGTCGTCTTGCAATTAAATTCGACATTCAATGGCACATTCACTGCCTCTTCAAATGAGGACGGATGCACACGGAAGACTTCCATTCTGACCACGCCAGTGCG